AGAAATTGAAGACAATGCATATACAAAATGTTTGGGGGGCAAACAAGGTGTATTATGGGAGATGTGCAAATGGCGAATAGAGTCTCGTCCCGTTTGTGAGGTTTAGCTGTCATTGTGGGTGTGAAAAAGGATATCAAAAGGGATGGGTGGGTGTCCTTCTTCATCATTTGCCACTGTGGTAAAAAAAAACTCAAAGTGGCATTTACAACATGACAACTTCATTTCTTTCATCATCCTCACTACACCCATGTTCGAAAAACAAAGAACAATAAAAAAAAAAACCTCTCTTTTGTGTCAGTAGGACTAAAACCTCGCCTCTCGCTTTCTGTCACCAGTACTCACAAGTCTTTGTCCTTGGTCCCCTACTGTTTACCGATACTCGATGCGCAGACGACATTGGCTTATTTGTTTCTTCCAAATCCATTCATAGCATCTAATAACCCATGCCCGAAAAAAACACATAAAAAGCCCTGCTTATGTTAGTAAAACTTAAGCAGAAAGGTCATTGTGGATGCCAAATCCTGACAGCTGCGCAAGTTTGTATTGTCCATTATAAGACCTTGTAACCCTTCTTTTAATGGCATCTTTGTTCTTGCCCTTTTTTTAATTTTAAGGTTAGTTCTATCAGGACTGCCTATTACCCCGGAGCTAGCCTGTTCTTAGACGGTCTTCTTAGCCTCCGTAGCAAGCGTTTCCGTGCGGTTTCGGGCAAAGAGGGACGAGGAACGAGAGCGCGGAGTTCAGATCCGTGGTGACCGGAGCGTGTTTTAAAAAGCGTACACGGGGAAAACGAGGGGAGGTTTCCTCTCGCTTTCTTTTCCTCGTCATTTTTTCGCCCGCGCTATTAGGCTCCCGGCTCTGTATTATCCTGGATTCTACTGAGGCACCCCAGCATGAAGGTCCGCTGCTTTCTTTTGTTTGTTTTCTTTGTTTTTCTGTTTTGTTTTTTGTTTTTTGCTGCTGCTGCTTGTTTTTGTCACTTTTTTGCGTTTTGTTGTGTCTTCTTCACCTATACGTATCACATTAGAATGTAAACAAATTGTTCCATTTTCTCCGCATCCCAGTCCTCTGTCCGCTCTTCCTTCATTTCACCCTGGTAATTTTTCACGTGACACATCATGTGACAGCGTTTGACCAATGAAATCATCCCTTCATGCTTCTTGCCAAGGGAGCCGAGGCGGAAGCGCTTCAGGGAAGAGAATCTGTACAATTTCGCGAGGAACTTTCAAACTTCTAGCTGTTTTCATCAGTCTTGCAGTCATGGGCTGATTCAATCTTCTCACCAAGCGTTTCCTTATGCCTAACTGTATCGATATGGAAGCAAAGATGGCCTCCACGTGGCTGTGTTTTCGTTGCAAGATTCCTGAAGTTTAGGTAAACATTAAGCGTAAGCTTATTGAATTTATAGTCTAACTTTCTTCCTGTAAATTCACAACGCCTCCGTTGTTTTTACGTTCGAAAAGAAAACTGCAACTTATAACTTTTCTATTAGGCCCTAAGGCATGTGCAAGCAGTGATCTTTCTGCAGTCGAGTACGCGAGACATATCGCGTGACTCTGAAGAATTGAAATGCGTCTTGCATTGTAACTTACAGCAGAACCAGCCATGTATTTTACAGCTTCTAAGTTTTCTGACACCTTATTTAAAACGGTCATTATGATTTGGCCCTTCGATGTGGCCAGTCAATGAAGAGATTTACAATCACGTTTACGGCAGATGCCAGACGTCAGACTCAGGTTGTGAGTTTCTCATAATTAAATTATTAGGGAATGAGCAGATGAAAATTTGGAAAATAAAAATTATATTACTGTTTTCCTCTTATAAGCGCCTGGGCTCTTGTGACAAATTTCGGCTAAAAGGAGGCGGGCACTTATTGGGAGAAGGTCACTTATTAAGTTTTCTTTTCAATGAATTGTAGCTTTATTTTAGCTAAATTTTTAATAGAAAAGCAAATTATGCACGCCGGGCTGCTGAGCCCGCGGAATCAGCCACCAAAATCGTCAGCAATTTTTTTCAAAATGGCGGCCAATTTGAAAGGCTGTTTAATAATCAAATTTATGGCATAAATTATAAAAAGCAGAGATTTCTGGGATTTTTGGAGGCCTGGCTGCAAGACCACGAGGAAAACGAATTTTTTGAAGTCATTTGCTGAATTTCAGGTACGTTTAAGTGTGTTTTTACGCTCTTTTTTTGTCGTGTTGTGAGGCGTCTGAATTACCATTTCTTGTCGTACTTTCCCAAATAAGTTTTGATGGACGCACAGCACAGAAAATTTAAAACGGCAGAAACCTGGCAAGTAAAATAGAGACCCCAAAACACGAAAGACCTTGTCTAAAAATTGCCTTCTTCCACGTTAAAAGTGTGACCGCGTTTGGTGTTGTGTTTCTCCCTAGGTCTTGCCTGTTAGGTCCAGAAAATTGAAGAGTCCTTGTCAAGTTTCATTTTCAAGGTTCAAGGTGTCAATTGTGCCAACTGAAAAATTAAATATCCTTGAAAACTG